CCCCGTGGTCCCCCACCCCCTCGGCCCCCAAGAAACCCCCCCCCAACAATAAATTGAACTCTCCGATTCCCGCGATCGCTCAAGGATTGATCAGAAATTCAATCTCAGCGGCTCTCATCTCACGATGGCACTCTAGCAGCAAATCCCCCCATCCAACAATCTTGCCGACCCCAACGCGGGATAAGTTGGGCAGATGCTTGCCTCGGACCAGGTCATGTAGCGCGGCAATTTGCCAATCCTCACAATCGCCAGAAATAAACAGCATTTTCAGTGACTTGGGAAGCATGTGAGCGAAAGAGCCACTGGACGGTTCCATCAGAGCTGCCTTGAGTACACGCGAGCTTACCGTGAAGTGTTGGAGATTTTGGAGGCCTTTGAGCGAGAAATAGCTGCGCAGCGGAAAACTGGCGGTCTTTGGATGTGGCTCCGACGGATCGCCCGACTGCCAAGGAGTCCAATCCAAGATGAGTGTCCTGATGGTTTTGTGAGTCCTGAACGCCGAAACAATGTCCTCAACATCCAGGGGCAAGGTCTGTTTCCCCGCTGTGATTCTGAGAAACGCGAGGTCGTGAGCTGTGGCACTTTGTATGATGTGGCGGTACAAGCACAAGGCGCTCTTCTCCAGATGGAGAGTGAAGTTTGAAGTGCCATTTTCTCTCCCAAATCTCCAGCCCAAAAACTCCTCAAGTTGCCAGCTTGGGCGTGGCAGATTCAAGGTCAGGCCTACCGGCAAATCCAGATGGCTTGCGAGCCGCAAAAGTCGAGGGAAGCCACGCAAGGTCGCTTGCATTTCCACCTTTATCTGCTTGGCATTCGAGAAAAGGGCAAGGAGGGCCTCCAAGAATGCATCCATGATGTTGTCGCCCTCTGCTACAGGGAGCAATGCTGCGCAGTTGGATTCCTTATTTGCCAGCTTTTGGAGATCTGGCAGCAATGGTGCGAGGGCTTGCATATCTCCGTCGGTTATAAAGGGGGGGTCAGGATCGCAATTCATGTTGACGACGGTCAAGGACACGTTTTTGACCTGTTTTGCTAGATGCCTATTCTTAATCAGGACACTGGCGATGGATTCCAGGCGCCTGATGCACAGTAACATGTCGCCGCTGCTCCTGCGACCAGACAGTGTTTTGCTAAAGGATAAGGAGCATCGTTGCTTCTTATCACCTTTTTTTTTTCGGCCGTTCCGGAGAGTTTCACGCGGGAGGGTGTGAATATTTCAACAAGGACGTGGTTATTCGTCGTTATTTAAAAGGATTCATAAAAAGAGATGAAAGGCCTGGTTTACTGGACCCTAAAAGCTGGTTACTTGGTCCACATCGACAAGCGGCTTCCAAAATGTATGTCTGCGCTTGTTCCTTTTGCGTCTGGTGCTTATTGTCCATACGCTCGTATCCTTTGTCACTGCATTTCCTTGCTTTCGGCTTGAACATGATGTGTGCAGTAGATCCCCTCCCTCATCGTAGTGTCATCGTAGTGGCGGCATAGCATTTTGAAGACCTTCAGTGGTAGGGCAGAAGAGAGAACATATGAAATCCCGACAGGAAACGGACGACCAGTTTGGGTATGCCTATAGGCGCAGGGCGACATTGGACATGGTTACGAATAAAACAGAGACTTGAGTGTCAACCAGAATTAAGGCTCGACATGGTTGCTACACACCCGCTTTCGTTTTGGACCGCGATTCCTCAAGGACTGGATAGACTTTCCGCCGCCAGGGTTGTTGGTAGTTATCTCTCCAGAACATGACAGATGAATAAGAGCCGAGGGGAAATGGTGTTAGAAAGTCAGAACCAAGTGGCGTAAATGGCGAGAAGCGTAGCGGCGACCAAGCCAAGGATTTGATGCACCTGATCTCTGCTGGGTTTTCGGTGGGCTCTATGGAATGTTTATAGGTTCCATCATGTGGCTGATGACCTCGTCACATTAGACTAGGCGATCATCAAAGTCTGCCTTGCTCTAGCTAGCATCCCAGAAGGCTGTTTCCCCTCAAATCGAGAGGCTCGTCCATACAAAGACAAGGAAGGCCTACTGCCACACTCGTCTGAGTCGTCTCTCACTTCGCGAGCGCGTCCAGTGCGTACTTGGGCAGCATCTTCCTCAGCAAAGCTATTGTTATAGCTGGTAACTCGACGGCTTTACCAACTCGATCACATCTATATCGGAGACAGACAGAGGAAGGGGCTGCCAAGCAAGCAGGGTCACGAAGCTGGAAAGGGGAAATCGGTTTGAGACCCTGCAGGCAGCCCCGTCGTGGAGCCCTCCCTCCATGTTTTCTTTCCCCCGCATTGTGCATCGCGGTGGGTATGACGGCATGATAATAATACGCTGGAGCAAATGGGACGTCAGTGATAAGCATCATCTGTCATGAGCCGAGTCGCTTAGAGTCTGCGAGCACCTTTGTCGAATGACAATGGCCAAGGCAGAAGCAAGATTGGAAACCAAACGTCGGCCTGCATAATCCAAGCAACCACCCAACAAAGTTGTCACACTGGCGGGATGAACGGGCAACTGCGCTTCGCGTCATGTGTTAAGCATGTGGCATGGTCGAGACAGAGACGGGAACCAACGATCGATCGAGACGTTGGAAAATGATGAACGCCGACCCACGCCGACTTCCTTGATCATGTTGCTTACAAAAGTTCACCATGATCAAGAGAGAGGCCCTGGCACGGCCCACGGCGCAGCATACATTCCTTGTTCTCTACCCGCGAGTGACATTGGGGATCCTCCAAGAAGGGACGTGGTCTAAAGATGCGTCCCTGCTTGTCCTAGCTCAAGCAGAGTGTCAACTCGCAAAAGAAACACTGATCACCGACGGGCCGCATCAGTGATGTGAACCATTACGGTGCCGTACACGCGACATGAGTCATTCACATTGCCCTTGGTTGCCGGCTGTTGTCGTATAGCTAAATTACTACAGTTGTAGGGGGGGGGGGCGCTGTGACGGTGTGCAAACTGGCTGCCGTTTGATAAGCACCATGAACCTGTCGTCGTAGTTGCTTCATGGCTCGGATTGTACAAACCCAAGGCCATCAACTAACTAGCCGAAATGGATATCGCCAATGCCAAGCGAACATGCTGTGTACTCTTGTGTCTACTCAAATATGATACATCGTGGAATAAGTTGCTGTAATCAGCCAATAGACTGCTACCCAACGGGGACAAGTTGCAATTTGGTTTGTTTCTTCAAGAGCCTAGCCTCAAGTACGTAGTATTCGCGGATGTTCACGGGGGGGGGTTCCCTCCAACTCCATTAGCGCCATCGAACAAGGCGGCAACTTGGGGGCATGCCAACCGAACGAAAGTCACCTGACGATGATCCTAGCGAGGGGAGACCAGAAGTGCGAGAAACAGTCTGGAATCCGGAAACGCTCGGGCGCGGGCTTGCGAATAAGCCAACAACCTTAGACGTAGAGTTATGACCGGCCTCAGCAAGTACGCCGCACGTTCGTCGGCTTATCGCATGCGAGAACTCGGCGAACTCGACAAAGACAATATTTGATAGATGGTAATTGTACTGCGTGTTATGGGTCCGATATCGTGTCTGTTCTCCAGAAGCTTCTTTTTCAACCAGCGGCACATCGGACTTGACGGGTTTTTCTTCTTGGCTGGATCAGCGTAATTGGGATGGTGGGGGTCCCCGACGTTTGTCCAGCCGAGCCGAAAGCCAACAATAATCTTGGTGTCGACAATACCCCATCTTTCTCTCTCTCTTCCTCTTTTTTTTTCTTTTTTTTTTCTCTGGGTCAGCTGGTGTCTCAAGTCTCATGCTCAGCATTTTCAGGGGACCTGCTTGCTGCCTGGCTGTCTAGCTGCTTGAGTGTTTTGGCCATGTGTCGGAGCCCTCGGTGCGCTAGATGCCCAAAACATCATGAGTCGATTCAAACCGGCTGACTCCCCTTTTTGTTGTCACCAGCATTGTGGAAATTTTCACGAGGTGACTGAAGCTGCAGGAAGGGTAGTCGTGGTGTGCGTTGACTGGAATGTCGGGACCGGGGATATCGTTGATGATATGTGATAGCCTTGCTGAATGGAACCAAAAGTTGACGTCTTTGAGTGTTCAGTCGATGACGAATTGTGTGCCGGCCAGAGGCGTAGGTACACACTAGCATACTAGGGTGCAACTTTGCATGCCACCTGATGCTACGATACCTTCGGCGGCCAAATGCCGTTTGCATCGTCCAATTGGACGTGGATAGCACAACGTCAACGGATCCTTCCTGCCCGTTCGCACTTTGTTCTTGGGCTCGTCTCGCCCTTGCCGTACGGGGCAAAGCGCCGTTGACTACTCGTACCCAGGAACCTACGGTAGGTACCTAAACTATGTCCAGTCCCGAATGAGGGAAGGCTGTTCTGTCCAGAGCAAGGCGGCGCCTTCCTTCGAAGAAGGATGGGCAGCCGAACATGGCAGCCTTGGACGACTGGCCCAAGCCAGGGCGCCAGGGCTGGGAGGGACCGGCTCTGGATGTTATCTGGGGTACCAGCATGAACCCGTCAATCAGTTGCAGAGCTGTCGTGCCAACACTTCAAAATACCCTCAGATCCGGCGTGGTCCCGCCTCGTTTTTGCCAAGATGCGCACTCCGTACATACATTCTCCTTCGCTTGCCCCTCCCTACTGCCGGCCGCCGATTGTCGCTCGACAACCTTGGCCGTGGCTGAACATCTGAACCCCTTCGGCAACCCTCGACGACTCTCGACAACCCATGACGATTGTCGTGTGAACATTCAAATGCTTTGTTCGGCTGTTCAACCTCTCAGCCTCCTTCAGCCACGACTTGACGGCTCAACGGAACCAGGGACCCTGTGGGCTTGGGCTCAAGTGCTGCTATCCGGCCGTTGCTTGTCAGCCTCTGGCTTGTTTTGCCCTCCCTCGAATAGCTATCGCCCGTCGGCTTCTCCGCTCCCCAAAGCACACATACAGCTCGTCGGTACGCCATTCGCTGATAACGGATGTCGGATCGAACGGGGCGAATAACCCAAACAGCCATATCAGCCAAAAGCCACCCCTCCCTCTCACAGCGTTATCAACTAGTCATTCCCTGGCGCCTCAGTCGTCCACCAGCGTCACTCGAAATTACGGAGTAGTCGCTTAGCCCAGCACACGAAGCGCAAAGGCAAATGAACCAAGTGCTGCCTCCTCGCTATCTTTGAGGCTTATCCCCCCGTTTCTTTTGCTTCGTGTCGCTTCCCAAACTTAACTTTCTTTTATTCACTTTTGGTCTCTGTCGCCGAGTCATACCAGCGTCTTTCAGCCTCTTTGACCGGAGAGAGCAGTGCCGTCGCCGTTGCCGCTGCCACTGCCGCTGCAAGGCACGTCGTCCAGCAGCGACCTTATCGCCAGCCAGAGCAGGCTGCGTACATACAGTCACGTAATCGCCGTCTCTGTTCTTCGCTGTTCTTCGCTGCGGCCCTCGAATTGGACGGCTTCTGATTAGCTGCGGTTGGCTGGGACGACCTGCCTTTATCGGGGTTTGATATCCTTGTCCTGTTCTTGTGGAGCCTTTGCTGTCGACCACAGGAGACCGCAGGCCCTCACTCGTTACGTATCAGAATCCTGCCTACCTACACACGACCATCGGCTCCAGCTGCGTGAGCCACGTTTCCCCAGGCGCCCAGGCTTCTAGTCTTACACGGGAAGCCGGAAGCTGCACCGCTGTGTGTTGACCTTCAACTCTTTGGCGACTCAGGACCCCCGTCCCAGGACATCGGTCCCCTGAAACCCGAGAGCCACACTGCTCCAGGTTGTCACTTTTTTGCTACCCAAGTGTGGTCATTTTGGCCCTGGTCTATTGTGTGTGTAGCAAAGTAGTTGGCCTATCCAACCCGTCCAGTTTGCCGTGCAAGCATGCCCCCGTCAGTTGTTGTGGCTATCTCGACTCCCTCCCAGAACAATGAGATCCTTCTTATTCTCAAGTTACCCGGCGCAGCCCGCCCCGTCTTCTCCCTCCCCTTCTCACCCTTCCAAAGCATACCGTTCTCATAAACAGACGATCTCGGCAAAACCTATCTCATACGACGCGCTTAGTGTTGAGCCATCTGCTCTACGTCGTAGCCGGCTAGCACCCAAGTATGCGCCGGGCACATCCGAAGACGTCCAAGACGAACAAGACATCGCAGTTACAGTCACCATCCAAGCCGTCGACTCGACCTCTTCGAGTTGCTCATCTACCAGCTCAGCATCCTCAGACTTTCATGCTGCAATGTCAATACGAGCCGCAGTTAACTGGGAAGCGAGCATTACGCTACCTCAGTCGAGTCTCTCCGGCACCACCACCAGTCTGCGTAGACCGACAACGCCGACGAGTCCTGTCCAGATCCCCAAGCGAAGCCATCATGACGCCCGTCACCATGCAAAGCTAGAAACATCACATCATCGACGAAACCCCAGAATTTTTCATCCTCCAGATTCAATTTCGCCGTCTGTTGCAGCCCTCCTTGCTGTGACTGACATCCCGCGACCCCAAAGACGAAGACGCAAGGCCGATTCGCCTCTTACCGTTGATGAGATTGTGAACGACCAGCATGTATCGGAAAAAGAGCTTAGCTTGTCTCTCAGTCGGAGACCCATGGACTTACTATTGTCGCCGCCAGAGGATTTGATGGATGATGATTTAAGCGCCACTGAGAGCAACATGGGCTCAATGCTTGCCAGGACTACTTCCGCAGACTCTGTTCCATCGCTCGGAGGGGAGTCCTTTGCTACCGACGTGTGCTCTTCGGTTGATACGCCTGCAAGCATTGGCATCTCGGCGCGGCGTAAGCACAGCCCGGTACGCAGGTCCTTGGAACCTATTCGATCACCATCCGAAGATGGTGCCGAGGAGCATCCTCTTGCGGTTGTTGACAACCTTGGCCTAGAAGATTTGGAGACGCCAGCTGCCGAACTTTCAGATGAGGGCTCTACTTCATTCTTGCAGCCTTTTAAACCGCTGCGATCTGCATTCAAATCAAATTTGACAGCTTCTTTACGGGCCTTGCGCTCGGCAGCCAAGTCTTTTTCAAGCATCAACTTCCCGTCCATTCCGCCAGATGACTTTCTCACTCGGTCTATTCTCACAATTGACCCGAATGTTCCATACATGGATGAACGACGTCCCCCGATGACTGAGGAGATGCCATCGGCTGAATTGCGCCGCTATCTCAACCCTACGACAAGTGCTCACATCGACCCCCAGCCAAAGACACGCGCAGGCACTTTCTCAGCTTCGATTCAAATGCAAACCTACAAGGTCCAGCGTTCTCAATCCGCCCCACCGTCACCGCGCACGCCCTACACTGCTGGCAACCCGTCCAAGTCTGCATCCGCCCCCAATCAACACCCAGGCAGGCCAGGCCAACAGGCTTTCGCCGTCCCAAGCATGCGCCAACGAGAAATGCGGGAGAATCCCGACTTTATCCGTATTGCAGTAATGGAAATGGCGATGCGGCGCCGAGGAAAGCTTGATAATCAGAAGCCAGGCCGGGCTCGCTGGGCTCTCCCACCACGCAAAACATCACTGAAGCCCTACGAAGTTGGCTCGAATGGTGTTCCAGCAAGGTGGGTACCTCTGCCGCATCCGTGCTAGTTGCTGCGATACCGTAGCACTGTTACGGAATACCACTATCTGATGAACGTCTTGCCACTCAACAGCCCAACCTGCCATTCCGACGGGCACTAGTGTCATCAGATCAGAGACGTGGCATCTCGTCCTGAAAGAGGAGGCTTACAGAGTACGTAATACGCCCACCACTCTTTCGTGGGAACGACGCAGCGAAAAAGTTTTTCTGGCCTGTGCCAGGGCAAGGGGTATCGGGACCCTAAACATTGCCAAGGAAGTCGTGGAACACGTCATGGGGCGGGCTTTCATGCAGCGGCACGTTGCAGCAGCAGCTTTTTACCAGGGCCAGACCCATGGACCGGAGAGCTGCGACCCAGCCGGTGGGAGCAATCTGCCAATGGAGGAGGAAGTGTGCAACGCGATCCGCCGAGGCCCCACTGTCGAAGCATTTTGGAAAGCGTACCGAATCGGCCGCGAGGAAAATGCCGAGACTGGACCCGAGCTGCGAAAGAAGGGGCTCATCGATGTGGTTGAGGGTTCCACGGACGGAGCGGACAGCGACGCAGTGGAACGACGAATATTTTCTGCCCCTGGGGCTTGCGCATTCTGCAAGGCACCACATTCCGACATTGAGGTCTTGGAACCGAAACTTGACTTGAGCCCTATAAGCAAAAGAATCAGACGGAAGGCCCACACACGCCTTGGTGAGAACTAGTTGCTGGCCGAGAGGGGAAAACGACAAATGCAGTTTATCCACGGGTCCTTTGACGCTCATGGCTTTCCTTCACACATCGATTCATCTCTTTGTCTCTTTGAGGCCCATATTTCGCAGCAAAGAGACGATCTGCCTTTTCATAGAATGAAATTGGCTATTGACTGTCACACAGGGGGATTACCTGCCACAATATTTGTTTGCGGCTCCACCAAGTCCGGCGGTCAAGGTTATACTGGATTCAGCTGCGAGTGGAACGACGCGGGTTGCCCGCGCAGGTGTGATTCGGTTATCTGGGCAAGAGTGGGAAGTTTGGTATTATTCCTGTTACATAATGTTTCTTTTTTTTTCCTTTTTTTCCCTTTTCTTTCTTTTTTATTCTGGAAACCTCCTGCCGGTTGGTTTCTTAGATGGGGTCGTATATGCGTATACTTACAGCACGGAACTTGGCGCATGGCCGGTGATTTTTCTTTTCCTTCCCTTTCTTTTCTTTCCAATTGTTTTTTTTTCTCTAGGGCATTGGGAGCGTGGGCATTGGGTAGGGCATTGTATGAATAAGCGGTCTAGCATTTTCAGGATACCTTTTTTGCCTTACGAACAGGGCTTGTCTCAGGAAGCCCAAGGCAATCTCAATTTTTGACATGATCTTTTTATTTTACCACCATGCATCCATTGGTGCAACCACACCACCTTTCCGGGGGAAGCAGTTCTGGACACATTGCATTTAGGATGCATGGCTACCCAACGCTGCATCTTAGCCAGAGCTGGACAATGGAGCTTTAACACTATCGGCTATCGGGTTTGTGGATGATTTGACGAGTTTGGAATATTACACCGCCTCAAGGCACAGATAGCACCCCCGCGGCCAGCTAGTTGCAGCCATTTGAACTTTTCTTCCCTTCATATGAACGATGTTATTGTGATGCTTGTGTCCGTGGAGTGTCGCAGTCCACTAAATAATATCCCTCCATTTGCGGGGTTCATATCCGGAAACTCATCCCAGCCCGATATATTGCGACTTGCCTAATGGGGACGGACAATTGCTTTGTTAGATTGTGAGCATAAGCCCAGGAGGGCGGGAAAGGACTGGCGATATGCAATACCAACCAGAAAATCAACAAGGTCCCTTTGTCATAGTTTGAGACTTTTGTCGATGCGCATGGATCTAGAGCAACAAGAATGCCGTGGACCGAGAAGCAGGCCTAGCCTCTATCTCTACACGTGCAGAGCATCCTGAAAGTGTGCAACTCGGCTGGTGTCCGTGAGGTGTGAACAAAAGAGATTGGCATGCTGTAACGGCAGTCTAGTCATGGCTGAAGGGGTGGTTATTCCTGTGCTTGGCCATGTTGACGAAGAATCGGGCTGGTCGCAAAACACTGCCTCCAACGGAACAGCGACCAACAAAAGGAGCAAATTGTGCCCGTCAATCGGTGGGCCTTGATCCACGTGCTAACGATTAGCATCGTGTATCGAAGCCCACCCCCGGGTGCTATGCGTCGGCAGGAGCAGATCTTGATGCTTCTCCAAACAGGCCTCTCACTCGCCCAGCCATGGCGGTTTGTAGAATATAGGGTGTCAACCTGGAGATACCCGTCTACTTGTGACCTCTAGTCGCAAGCAAAACGTCATTTAGACTGGGCGTCATTCTCGGCACATTAGATCATTACATCTCGAGATGCCGCCCCGTGGAGTTGACACCGGTTGTCTTGTTAGCATGGTTCTGTCGACCTGGCAGGCCAGACGTCACTGCTCCAACTTGTCCAGGCTACAGCACATATCTGATATCACGTAACGGTATCTGAAGAGCGTACAATCCAGTAATACTTGCGACTCCGTTCAACGAAATGGGCTTGGCTCTGAAACTCTGACGTTCAAGTTAAGCAAGCCCTTTTCCACATGGCGAAGAAACCCTGTGGACCTAGAAACCACCTCCCTGGCCCGAATCGAACGGCACAACCACAACGGCAGGATATCAAACGTCTTGAGTGCAGATTCTCTGGGGGAGAGCTCCCTCATGCGGGGCGATGGCATACTGGACACTGCGAGGAGTCTTGCTGATAAGACGCCGGTCGTTCCCCAAGGTATGGTCCCACGGCATAGGAACTCATTCCTAAAGGACCATTGACGTCTTGCTGAAGCTTGGGGGGCAGTGCCATGGGGTAGAGCGCCTTTATCACGGATCCGTCGTTTAACGGTGCCTTGTTCTCGCAGCATTGCCTGCCAAGACTGCAACGGTTGCTCCGCGGACACGTCTTCTCAAAGAGGTCGTGATTGGACTGTCGATGGGTGGTTGGTGATGGGCTTTTTTTTGATTGTCGACGAGGGGAAAGGTACTATGGTGGTGAGTGGCACTGCCGGGGAAAGCGGGACATGAGCTGATCTCGATCGAAGGCGGCATGAAGCCAGTGTAGGGGGGTTACAGGGTCGATAAGCTAAAGGTTAATTATTGGATCAATCCATAATCGCTTTTCACGTGTCGCCGTGGTGATCTTGGCGAAAAATTTCTGTACGACTCTGCTGCCCCCTTTAAGTGGTGCGGGAGCACCTTCTCTTGATAACGAGATGCTAGGCAGTTCACCCAGCGGCCCAATGGTGTCGCTATTTACTGTTATTACGTTTCTTGTCCTTGGCATTGAGGCCTGTGGTTGGGAAGTCTACCTGGTTGGTGTAAACGGAGGGCATGGTATGAAACTGGCCTTGGAGTGGACGTCTCTCGGCAGGTTGTACGGCGTTTGTTGAAGTCGGTGTTCTTGCTATGGACACAGTCGGTGTACTTTCTGTCATGAAGTTTTGAGGGGTATAATAGGTATGGGGTCGTGTTTTGGGGGAAGTTGGGTAGGGAGTTGATGATGTGTCTGCTAAGGGGGTGGGCGTTATGGGCGATCTTGCGTACGAGGAGTGGGATTCTGCTGATTTGATGAGAGACGTATTTGAGGATGCTGCTGCTGTGTATAATGAAAAGTATGAGCGTGCCATGAGGGCGTTTGAGGGTGTCAGAGGAGGGGATTCGCAGGCCAAAGTTGGTATTTCAACTCGGCCAAACGATATAGAGTCATTGCTGTCACTCTCGAGAAGTGATGTACAGAGCCAGGCGTATGAATCCAGACTCAGGCACGCCGCCCTTCTCAGCCTGCTAATGTGTATAGCTGGCATGATGCCCGTGGACGTTGGCAATATCCTGACATTGGGCGTTCAACTGCGGCGATTTGAGCAGATATTCGTCCGATGAATAGGGACGTTTCATCTCTCTCTTGAAAGCCTAAAATCCGTCAATAGAACTCCTTGACAATTATTCAGCATCTGGCTGTTTAAGAAAATGAACCCAGCCCCTTGTGGCGTAGAAGATACCATCCTAATACACCTGTTGGCATATGATCCTCTCAAGTTGCTTCGAGACAAAACCCTTTCAACCAACCATGCACTGTATAAGTATCCTAAACATGGTGGTGGTGATGATGGAGTACATAATATTCAAGGACTTTCTGCCACTGGGCTAGATATCGGCGTCCTAGAGACACCTAGGTCAGTGTTTTTGCCACCATTACAACACACTGGTGCGGCTCCGACAGAAGATCGGAAGACTTCCCATCTTATTCTTCATCATACATTCGTATCGCTTGAAGTATATGTTAGTGAACCAAGACCGGCGATTGGTCCTGGGGTTGTGCCATTACGAGTCTTAGGAATCAAATTTTACAACTGTTTATGCTGCTTGCAAGCGAACCTCGCGCGTCAAGACTGTTATATCGCAAAGCTCTATGCTCTTGTTCCAGCCGTCAGCACTGTCAAGCTCCCATTCCGTGCGCTATGGGCTTGTCGACATTGGCGCCATCACAACTACGGCCGAGACAAACTTGCTCAACATTGTGCACCACAACTTTACCATGTAAATGCCGGATGCCTCGAGTCAAATAGTCTGCGCTGGAATGAAAATTACCAGGAGGACGAGAAACGCACTATGGTGCGGGGGATTCTAACGCGGTCCCCTTGTTCATACCGTCTTGGGCTCGTGGCTCTACGAACCTTGCAATCCCGCGGTCGAAAAAAAAAAAAAGAAAATTCGAAGCTATGAACTCTTGTAAGTCATTTCGTTCTTGTAGACCGTACGTATGCTCCATCGCATCCCAACTGGGTACTTTGGAAAAAGACCCCCGGCTTCAATCACCCACAACAGAACTTATCGAATACACCAAAGGTCCAGTCCTTGACCCTGTGAGCCAGAATCTACATTAAACATGGAGGCCATGAACATGTTAATTCACTCTTCAGCAGCGGAAAACAGCTACGGAGGAGCTAGAAGAAGGCCCATGACCGACTTGACTTACGATCCTGCACCAGAGACTCTAAACTAGCCCGCCCGACGATGCCAATCTAGAGCATAACTTCAGTATATGACTTAGGGTACTGGTCATGAATCAAACAGCCGACACCCGCGTTATGTTCTGAAAGAGTGAGCTCTTCATCGTATTACCGCTGATATACTACAAAACAAAACTACATCGCACCAGACAGCAACTGGTGCCGGAACCGCCTTCAGCAAAACTCCCACGGTTGGTCTCGCAACTTCCAACTCCTGACCTACCCCGTCTAAAGTCTAAAAGACGTGAATCTCCGTGCCGCTCATGACGTGATACGTCGCCAACTTACACCCGCACCGACAACAACTATGCTCCGCGTCCTTGTACGTCTTGGAGAAGTAAGGATACACGCCCCCCAAAACACTACATAGAAAGAACAGGCCGGCCATGAAGCTTTGTTCTATTAGCAACATGGAACAAAATATGGACGCACGAGTACAGAAAACGTACTGTGTACCGCTGCTTATCTTGCGATGAACCCTTGTCACAGACAACTGTCGACACCCTGGGCACCGAATATGTCGCGGCCACCGGGCCAGGCCCTTCAGCGGCGTGGTATCCGACTCGGCCATGGTGTCAAACGACGTCGCCTCAATGCCGGGGAAGCGCTTTTCGACGAGCACCGGTTTATCGTCTTCGCGGGGG